CTTAACCCAAATTTAACCGTGAAGTTTTATATAAATACATCGTGGTGGTTTTGTCAGTAGGGCTAGAATCACTTGGATCATACTAAATCGAGAGCGGGAGTTGGGTAGGTTATCCAAAAACCGTGCAGACTTCGAGGTATAAGCCACCTATATTTTGTTTGACCTTCCAGCATATATTACTATGACGAAAAGAGTAGAAGTGTGACGTAATTCTTGTTTAGTTCCCAGGCTCCGCCGTACTACAGTGTACTAGAATACTTGGGTAGTGTTGGGACCGGAGGGGCTCGCCTGAAGCGCGTGGTATTGATCGCGACAGGTGTCGACACCGGCGCCTTATCCAGAAGGTGTGCGCATGCGCGGCTGCACGCGCGAGAATATGAATCTTTGGTGCCGCTTTGGTGGAGTGCACATTGGATTTCTGATACACTTACGACCTGCCAGCGGTTATACCGCGGCATCAATTACGCTGCGGCACGATTGTTAGCAACATAATGCTTCAATGTATTGGACGGTACAAGCTACATTACCCTTTTTTACATATAAACAATTGCGACTTTAAAGAAGCGGATTGCAAGTTGTTTCAGCGTAGAATTAGCTGCGACTTTCGGTTCGTCGGATGGTGAGCATTTTAAATGAAATGCACATTTCCTTGGTCGCCAAGGCCGAACATTAGATATTTGAAAGGGATATATAAAAGTCGGAAGCAGTTTTTTTTTTCCTATCTTATTCTATAATGGAACGAAACGACACATACTAAAGTCTAAGATTGATTTAGTATGTTTTTAATATCCCAGGTTAACTTCTCTGTCTTATTTTCTGCCCATCTTCTTTTTCTTGACCTTAATGAGCTCGTTTCACTTGTCACTCATTCTTGTGTTCATTTATGCGACGAACCACCCAAGCGATGGTCGCAAAGGGGTGAGAATCTTTTATTTCTTCTTGGCTGCCAGGACCATCCGAGGACCACCCGACTTTCGCTTGTAAGAAATGGCTTATAAGCCGTGACAATTTTTATCACGCGTTTTAACATTGAACTTAAGTCCACAAACTGAGACAACGTGGGCTGAACAAGTAATGCTTTATAAGATTCAAAGAAAACAAGCAACTATTTCACATCATTTTGAGCAGAATACATGAGCACACATAGATTAGGCAAGGAAAAAATTGTATTACTTTACAGCACGGCATTGAAATAATGGTTACAATGTGCAGCGCATCCATGGTTACAATATGCAGCGCATTATCTTCTTGACGGTAAACCTTCTGAAACCTACACGCTCATAACAATATATTTAACCGACAGCTGCTTTCTGACAACCAGGTAAGTCTCGCCTGAGCTGGGCATTCGAAGAGAAAGACCCATGGTTCCATAGGGGGCGTATCTGGTTCATGCACACATACAAGGTGTTTTTGTTTTATTCTTTACAGAACTTTACATATTTTACACAAAAAAAAGGGATATGGCAGGTATGTGGATGCTGTCTTTCGTTATATCTGTAGGGCTCGGTGGACAATAAATGGGTGAATAACCGTTGCAATGTTTAATAATTAACCAACATCTGTTAGTTAACTTGTTTATTAACGGCTTAATTGGCCATGGTGCAATTGCAGTTTTAAAATGAGTTATTATAAAAGGCAAATACAATTTCGACAATTCTCGAAAAGGCAACGAGGTTTGCAAAATTTATTGTAAAAGTTTGCCTTTCTTCGCTTGATTCAGAAACTGCGTTATGAAAAGAATACGTAGAATAGTGACTTAGTCGTCTTGATGTGTGGCGCCGGCGAGTCCACCGAAGACACGCTGTCGAGTTAGTGACGAGGGGACAGAAACAACCTGTGTCATTCTTCTACGCATCAATATAAGCACAACCGCATTCGCTCTTTGAGCGCGCGGTTTTTTAATTAAGCATAGAAAGGCAAATTTTAGCGATGAATATCTCAGGACAGAACGAGCAGCTTGGTAGAGATGATTAAGCTTGAGGAAGAAAACGAGAAGGGACGGACAAACAACAAAAACGAGCGCCTTGTTGCTTTCGCTCAAAGCTCGTGGTTTGTTCGCCAACTTTCTAAATTGGGTTGGCCTTTAATAATGGCTCCCTTCAAAGCTGCAATTGCAACATGGTCCATTAAACCGTTCATCAACCCTCTGCCTACCGCAAAAACAACAAAACAAAAAAAAAGATTTGGAAATACCGATTTTTTTTTATGTGCCCTATAATCTGTTTCACTTTGTGCTGTACCGCAGGAAAGGCTACAAGCGCGAGCTCCTTGCTCTGGGGCACATCTCGGCGGCACAAGCTCTCGTGCACCAAAGGCAGCTGCCAACGCTATGAGCTCGCGCTTCTAGCCTTCGCTGCGGTACAACATAAGGTGAAACGGAGTGTATAAAATCGGGGTACGACACGTGCACCGCTGAAAGTAAAAAAAGAAAAAAAGGCGGGATGCGCGATTTTTTTCCGGATAACTCGACTACAGCGCCGCCTCGAACTGTCAATACACGCGCCCTCACGAGCTCCCGTTGCCGAGCCGCTCTGGTCCCAACACTATCCAAGTACTCTAGTAGACTGTAGCCGTACAGCCCAGCACATCCGAGCTCAATTTCTCGAAGGATTACGTGCCATGTACATGGACTCTCTAGATTACACCTGCCAGATTCTTTTTAGTGTGATGGTTCATCATAACTGACAGAATGAAAACGGCTGAGAGGCATTTCAATGCTCACAACTCTATCGTGAGCTGGAGGCAGGGATAGTGAAAGTCTATTGGACCACGAGGCTTATAATAACGGTCGGGACAAATGACCGATCATACCCATTCTGTACGAGTTTAGACGCATGCTAAGTATCACAGTGAAATTGACTTTTTTCTTTGGAATATTTTTTATTATTGTTATATTATTGTTATCCAATATATATCTAAAAAGGACAAAAAATTACAAAGGGGCGAAGGCCTTGCCTTGTCCCTAGAGCGAGCAACAGTCTTCAGCGTCCTGTGCGCCTCGGGCGTGCGCGCACCACCAAAGCTCTGCAGAATGCCACAAAGGTGTGCAGATGCCGTGTCTTTGAGAGAGGCGCCCCGACGTTCTGATCCAATCAGTAACTTTAGCTACTGTCAAATAATAATCTTCTTTATTCTGACAATGCCTGCATAATTTCTGGCTTCCCCATGCTTTGGCGCCGGTGCGCCTGCTTCACATAATCACCGCCAGGGCTCGACTTCCCCATACAATAAACACGATGCTTGGTCGCTGCGCACTTCTACTACAGCACCGTACGTGATTCCAATACTTTCGGAACACATATTTCGTAGCATTTACGCTGCAACATATGTAGTTTCCAAAAGTAAATACATGGAGTGGGCGGTGGATATTGCCGCGAGCGCAGAGGATCAAGCGGGCACCGCGCCCATGGCCTAATCACTGGCGATAAGAAAACGATCGAGCGAGCTTTTGTGGAGCACTATCGGGAACTTTTTGGGCAAGGAGCACCAATAGGCGATGGTTTCGAAGACGAATTTTTATCGCTCATGCCTAGGCTATAGGATCGCGTTCGTGTAAGTTTGGAAGCACCGATTAGCGTTCGCGAGTTAGAAGCGGCCATTGACGAGCTAAGCGTGGGTAAGACACCCGGACCGGACGGTCTTGGCGCTCGTTTTTATAAAGCGTTTAAGAAGGACGCTGCAGAGGCCCTAAACGAAGTGCTGAATGAGGCGTACAATAAAAGTATTTTACCGCCGTCGTTTTTGAAATCGCATACGGTTCTCATTCCGAAATCTGATGACACCGTAAAACTTTTGTCCGTGTCATCCTTCCGACCCCTTTGCTTAACGAATGTAGACTACAGAATTTTCATGAAGGTCCTGGCTAGACGATTGCAAAATGTTATAAAAAGTCTCGTCGGGCCGCACCAGACATGCGGTATTAAAGGCCGCACAATTTTTACGAATATCTACGTTGCCAGGTGTGTCCTTGAATGCTTAGACACCTTTGAACGCCGAGTAGCAATGTTACAGCTAGACCTAGATAAGGCATTTGATCACGTGTCACATGAGGTTCTTTTTCGGATTTTAGAGCGTGGGAATGTATGTTCTGTAATTCTAGATGATTTAAAAATGGCATACGCCGGGTGTACGACATCGCTAATAGTCAACGAAAATCTGAGTGTCGGTGTGAACGTTAATTCTCCCGTAAGGCAAGGTTGTCCCCTGTCTCCCTTGCTTTTTGCGATCTATTTGGAGGGGTCCACTCAGTTCATTCCAAGATACTTCATCCCAGGACACTTCATTCCAGACACTTTATACCAAAGGTGTTTCATCTCAAGACGTTTGATCCCAAGATGTTTCATCCCATGAACATTACATGCCAGGATATTTCATACCTTAGAGTGGCTCTGCCACACTTCATCCCCGGATACGTCATCCCAGGAATGTTCATCCCGTTCACTTCATACCAAAGTCATTTCATCCCAAGATGTTTCATTCCAAGACGTTCCATGCCAGTGGCATTAAATACCAAGGCATTTCATACCAGAATAATTCGGGGCACCCACGAGTTGCTGAGCTCGAGCAAGAAGAAATCTCAAGGTCGCATTTCACCGGCTGCAGCACTTAAATGAACGTCACTTTGGGGCGTGCATAGGAGTGCCCACAGACAACTCGGTACTGGGCTTCAGCAAAAGTCGGGCCATTCCCACTTAGAGCCCTTTCTTCTCTTTTTGTATTCTTCCCTCTCATTCATTCACTTACTTCAATCCTTATTTGCAGTGCTGCTGCTATGGTCAGATTTACTAATGAAAGCTGTATACTGCAACAAACCGCAATACTGGGGATTGATGCCACTTGAAAACCGGCCGAAAGGTATCGTTCCAAGACAACATTCACCAGAAATATGAAAAATTAATACGTTTATTTTGCAATGACCCACCCATAAGAGCAAAACCTTAACAAGAGGCCAAAATTCGGGCTAATACGCTCTTCAGAGCACACAATTCTGGCTAATAAACTCAAGAATCGCTAAGTACATAGCACGAGCACGCATTGAGAAAGCTGTCTGCGTCTCTGTTGTTATAGTCATCCAGGATCCGGCATAGACGCTTGTTAGACTGCTCGTACTCCTTCTTCGTGTACAGCGGTGGCTCATGACCCACGTCCAGCTGGATGGCCATCGCGTTCACACGGACTTGTTCAGAGAGAAGCGCATCCAGCAACTTGAGTACTGTAGGATGGGATGCACCGATAGAATTTTGGAATACCCGGTGAAAGCTTTCAACGCTATTGTTGGTTCTGGGAAGGCTGACCTCTGTCACGCGCTTGCAATTCCACATAGGTATTGGGAACCTTGGGTCCTTGTGGGGTCGACCGACCCAGGTATTCTCAAAGTAGTCTAGGAACTCTTGGTGCTGTTCCGTGCGTCCAAACAAGTCCAGCAGCTGTCTTGCGAGCATGCGATATCTGTCGCAGACGTCGAAAACATCACAGAAGCACAGTGCTATGAATTTGTTCACGATGAGGTGGTAGCTGGAATCATCAATGAATCGCGTGTGCATGCCCAGCTCTTGAATTCGGCGCCAGATGCTTTGCGCGAAATGAAATAAGCATCCATGCACATCGACGTCAGGAATGCATTCCCGAAAAGCATTCTCTTCAGCCTTTTCGAAGTCCATCACTATTGTGTGCACCTGTCGTGGGCTTGAAGTGGCATCGTCAATAGCTTCAAGTAGCATGCGCGTTGCTTTTTTGTACGTCGCTTCGCGCTTGTTCGGCAAGAGACAGTATACAAGGGGAAGCACCCTGCCTTTGTAGAGGCCATGAACAACCCAAAGCTGGTAAAACATCTCTGGTGCTACTTTAAATGTGCCGTCACACAACTAGGTTTTGCAGGTGTTTAAACGGCACAGGTCCGTGTTACAGGCGAAAATCATTATTCTTTCCGAGTCACCACAGCCTGTGTCCCCTGCGAGAAATACTTCAGGTGACGCTGTTCTTGTCATGCGCAGGTGTTCAGGTACAATTAGGTCGTCGATTCGGTGGGGAACTTGAGCTGCGCCATGGGCTTCGCGTCGAACTCTGTTCACCTTCCTTTTCAGTGATGACAGCTTGGGGAGCTTCGCGATAGTCGCCGGTCTTGCCCCTTGTAGGCAGGCGGTGACGACGTTCCGAGGGGTGTCGTGGGAACGCTTGGCTGCAGTTTTGATCTCATCTTGTAAACGCGCCGCAGCGACATTTTCCGGACTCGGTAGATGGCAAGTATGGCCTTGTGTAACAGTGGTCGTCTCACCTGCAGTAACAGCTCGTCCCCGGCAACCCTCCTGGAATTTCTCGCATCTCCATGCCGTCTTCTCGTCGTTGGTCCTGTGCTTGGTGTACATGTAGCCTTCGAAGCAGAGCTTCGGCGATCCTCGACGAGAAGCCACAAAGGTAGCCATGTTCTATAAACAAACTCGATGACAATTAATAGAGAGTTTTAGAATAGGGGGCCCCAACGCTTTGGGTAACCCAAAGCTTTGGGGTACCCAACGCAGCGACACCTCACGCAGCGTGCTTATAGAATAGGGTTTATGACGACCCAACGCGGCACGCTCGCCTTTTTCGCATGCAGCGCCATTTTGGACAACGAACGAACTTCTTAACAGTGAAAAATTATTAAAACGCAAAACATTTCCGCCGAAACGACACTTTATTGTGGCTTGCGGTTCAAATAATAGGGAGGGTAACACTAGTTGGAACGGCACAGCAAGGCCCATCTTCCGACCGTCTCTGAATCAGAAGATTTACTTCTCTGGTCAACAAGAGAGTGCACGCCCTCAAATACCAGGCTATCATGTGAGGTGGGTGTAGCTTGGTAGGTGTAGCTTGCTGTTAGCTCATCCTGTAGCTGAAGCAGCATGACAGTTATAGAGAGTTTTATAATCGGGGGTCCCAAAGCTTTGGGGCCCCAAAGAAATAGGGGCTCAGCACTGCGCATGCGTAGAACCCAAACGCCGTTTCGGGTTTTGGGTTGGCTCGCGCCCCCAACGTGAAATTCGAGAAATAACGTGAGGTCCCCAATTGCTTGGGGCCGGGTTGTATATCGGCAAACATGGCGGCGCCCTTTTCACTCGCTTCGGTGCAAATTCGTCATGGTCGCTGCAGTATTAGCCAATTTCATTGCCAATGAATAGTGCAACCGGCTTTCGCTTTGCTTAATCTCGCTCAAGTCACAAAGAATGAGCGGTGGGATCGCCCCATTTTAAAGACCGTACCTGATTCTGGCCGTTCCTAAGCCTAAACATACGTCGTAACTGTTGACATGGTGACGTATTGCTACTCCGCGGCTAAAGGCTCGTTCACACAGACCCGTTTCTTTCTTTTTCTTTTTTTTTCACGTTAAGTTACGAAAAGTAACCGGGAAATCTGTCCTTCGTGTTAAACTCTGCCAGCAGCAGGTCGACCCGGTCGCGGATGGCCCGCGTGGGGAAATTTCTTTCGAATGCTTCGGGGACCCTTTCGGCCATTCAAATCCATCTCCTGGAATGGAATGAGTTAGTGGCATACACTTCGCGTAGCACATAAATGTCATCGTCGATCGAGAAGCGAACGCGCGCGGGAGCCTTCTCTTCCTCCATCCAAGGCCTCGAACGAGTCGAGGCCTTGGATCGGCCTCGACTCGTTCGCCCATCCCATATCGGGTGTAGCCGAAACAATCCAATCCGTAGCGCTCTAAGTTGGCGCTTGTTCTCGTAGTAACATAGAGAGTTGAGCTAGCTTGTACATAGAAGACAAACCTAAAACAGCGCACAAGTACAGGAGGAAGATAACAAAACACAGGAAGGGGCGCTTACTCCCAACTTTTGTATTGTGAAAGAAAGAGAAAGAGGAAGCTTCAGATATGAAGCCCACGTTGTTGTTTTTCTTTCTTCTTTTTTCTCATCTTTTTTTTCTTCGTGACCTTATAATGTCAGTTTTCTCCTTTTCTACTGCAACTTAGTAATTTATATGTTTTTATTCTTTCTTCTTTATACCTTGTTTGTGCGCGTGGGCTTCATGTCTGAAGCTTCCTTTTTCTCTTTCTTTCACAATATGTAAGTTGGGAGTCAGCGCTCTTTCCTGTGTTCTATTTTCTTCCTCCTTTGCTTGCGCGCTGTTTTAGGTATGGCTCGTTCTCGATATTTTTGGGAGTGCGCTTTGACCATATGCAGCCGAAGATTTTGGCCTTCAACTATGCCGAGACTGAGACGAACGCGAGCGCGCATACTCTGCGGGCAGTTGCACTATTTAGATCTGAGCTGGAGCGACTTTGAAGCCTTGAAATACTTGTTTTCAAGATGCAGGTATCGTGCCACCGAGTAGCAATACGTTGCCATATCAACGGTTACCGCGTATGTTTAGGCTTAGTAACGGCCAAAATCGGGGACGATCTTTAAAATGGGGTGAGCCCACCGCTCATTCTTTGTGATTTGAGCCAGATGAAGCAAAGCGAAAGCCGGTAGCACTATTCACTGGCATTTAAATGGGCTAATACTGCAGCGACCATGACGAATTTGCTCCGAAGCGAGCAGAAAGGGCGCCGCCATGTTTGCCGACGCAACCCGACCCCAAGCGCCAACCCAAAGCCCCAAACAGATTTTGGGTTCTGGGCATGCGCAGTGATGAGCCCCTATTTCTTTGGGGCCCCCAAGCTTTGGGGGCCCCTATTCTAAAACTCCCGGCTGGACTGTTCGACTGATGGAAGCTCTATGCCAAGTGCAGGACGGTCTTACGTGGCACGGGTGACAATAGAAGAAAGACGAAGTGCATGTGTCGGCTCCGCGCGTGCGAAGCCGATTTTATAACTTCTTCTTCTAGGCAGAACACTTTGTGGTATAAAATATCCAGGTATGAAATGTCCTTGGTATGAAGAGTCTTTGGATGAGACGTCTCGGGATAGAACGTTTCTGGTATGAAGTGTCCGGGATAAACAGTCCTGGGATGAACTGACCTGGGATGAAGTGAGTAGCCCTTGAATCGGCTGAACCGTGTGGACTATTCTGGTATCAAATGTCGTGGTATGAATTGTCCATGGGATGAACTGTCTTGGGGTGAAACATCCTGGGATGAAATGACTTTGGTAGGATGTGTCTGGGATGAACTGCCCTGGGATGAAGCGACTTGGGATGAAGTGTGGTAGAGCCCTATTTGGAGCCTTTTTGTTTGAGAAGAAACAACAGTGAAAACATACGTGGCTTCACGTTGCAGTCGCGCGAAGTGAAAGTTCTTTCGTGCGCAGACGATGTGGCTGTCTTTTGTGTTGACCGAGAGAGCGTGCGTGAAGCCGTTAGTGTTGCCTCCTCCTTTTGCAAAAATACGGGCAGTGTAATTAATTGGGGTAAATGTGCAGGCTTCTGGCACGGCAGCTAGGACACAAGGCCTCAAATCTTTCTGAATGTTCAGTGGACATCCTTGCCCATGAAATATCTTGGTGTGCCGCTCGAGCACTACAGTGATAGCAGCCAAATGTGGAACGAAGCGACGGAAAGAGTGAGAGAAAAGCGGAGAATTGGAAGGGTAGGGACTTGTCGATGTTTGCGTGTGCTACAGTATGTAGTTTATTTTTAGCAGCAAAAGCGTGGTATATACTGCAGGTTATCGCTATGTCGCGCCTCAGCGTACAAAAGTTGCACAGAGTTTTTGCAGTCTTTATCTGGGGTTCAGTCTGGGGAGCGTTCTACCCGTACAAATTTGTTTCGCGCTGTTCGAAGTGGTGCCCTGGGATTCTCCCACCTGCTTATTCGGCAGATTGTGTCTAGGTTTCTGTTTTTACGCGACCAGAATGATGTATTCTTGCGTACTGTGCTGCAGGTGCGATTACGAAATGCGTTGCCGGAATTTGTTGTTTCGTCCAGTAACAAGCTATTGTGCTCTAGTGTTCAAGGCTTTATGCGTGAAGTTGTTCTTTCATTTCAAAAGCTAAAGGAACGTTTTTTTTTTTTTAAATTACCTCAGTTCAGTCACTCGGAAAAGACTGTATAAAGATTTAGTAATGTTTTGTTACCAGTACCCCTGTACAGGTCACTGTACTGCGAGGGCGATGGGCAGGATGTTAAAAAAAAGTTAAGAAAATGCCAGTCAAGCCATCCGTGAAGTCTTTTTTCTTTAAATTGCATAGTGGCGTTCTGCCAGTCAAGCCTTGGCTGAAGGAAAAAGACCTTTTTGTACCGTGGTCCATAAATTGCATCCTATGTAAAAAACCTGAGTCGATTGACACGCCCTCAGAGAATGTTGGGACGCCGTGTTCCACTGGGACGTTCTTCAGCGTACCTTGAAGAAAGACCTTCCTCTAACTGCACAAGGCATCCTTTTTTACCTGCCGAGAACGAGAACGGTGTCCCTTATGACATGTTCATGCTTCTCGGCCTCCATAGTCTATGGAAGACAAGAATGAGTGTACGCCATGCGGATGTTAATGCGCGCCCCGCAAAAGAAAATGTTATAGAAAGTGTAGCATATATCCGGGAAGTCTATCGAGCAATGTCACAACCTCCTGGTTGGTTGCTAATTCTGAATGACGTAGTGTGTCTGAAAAGATTTTAACGCAATTCTGTTTGCCACAAAGTGGCTGACTTGTTTCCTTTTTTTTTTAATGAAGCGATCTAAAGGTTCCGCCTCCATGCTTGTGACGTTAGTAGGGTATATGAAATCAAGCTTTCATATCCAAGATGCAAAGAAAAACGTTATAAAATCGCTCTAGCCCACCAAGTATATTCTCCATTAGATTTATGTGCAATCTCAATGAGCACCCGTTTTAACGCCGGTTGATTTGCCTCCTCAACACCCCACAGACGTATCAGGTATACCGATATATCAGTAGTTAAAACAT